ATATATATAAAAAAGCTATGGGTCTGGCAAGATGGCTCAGCTGGTAAAGACACTTGCCATTGAGTGTAACAACCTGGGACCCACAACGGAAGGAGAGAACCAACTTCCAAATACCAGGTGTGATAGTGTGCATATACCCGAAATTGCAGCTCTTGAGGGGTTAAGGCAGGAGGATCTTTGAGTTCAAAAGCAGCTTGGGTTAAACAGTAATACTCTTTTTCCAAAACAAATCTAAACAAAACATACCCATGTGTACATGCTATTAAGAGTGCAAATCAAACTTACCCAAAAAAGATGAAGGCATTCTGGAAAAATACAGCAATTCCAGGATAGACTATGGGTTTTTCTGTAAAGACAAATACAGTATTTAGATGTTTGTGATCTCAAAATAGTTTCAGGTACACAGGCAAACACTGTTTTTCTTGCCTACCATAATTGGCTTTTTTGGTAATTAGGGTGGATGTATTAAATGTCGTAACACATGATAGGCGACACTGGTTCAGTAAATGATAATTACCTCTGTTCGGGTAAGAAATACCTCCTGGGGGCACACTACCTGCTAACGAACACGGTTTAATGTGCTGAGGACACAGCAGAAAGAACACTGACCTGAGCCTCTGAGCCTCAGGAGCTAGACTGCAGCTATTAGAATAAACCAGGAAGTGAAGTGGAGTCCTAGAGGGAGCCAGCAAATGACACTCGACTCCGGTGGCCAGGAGGACCCTGGAGGAGCAGACACCAGAGGGAGGCCATGAAGGAAATGAGGGCTGGGGACAGAACAGTGCAGTGGTGTGCAAGGGACAGCGAGGCATGAGCAGGAGACAGATGAGGGGAGGGCAAGGCTGGTGGAGGGTCCCCAGGGCCTGACAGTCACTGAGACTGAGCTGATCGGGGAATGTGACCTGTTCTAACAGGATCTCTATGAGGGTAAGGGAACAGGGAGGAGACCCACTACAAGATCCTTTCAGGAAAGCAGGACAAGTTTGTGATGGACTAAAAGGGGTGGAGCCACAGATACGCCACAGGATGGCGGAGTCAAGGCGCACTGCACCCACAACAAGATGTGTGGGTGAGAAAAAGGAGTCTTATTATTTTTATTTTGTGTCTGTGTGTATTGTCTGCGTGTAGGTAAGTGCACCTGTGTCATGCAATGCCCGCAGAGGACAGAAGAGTCTGTCAGATCCCCTGGAACTGGAGTCATGGACAGCTGTTAGCTGCCATGTGGGTGCTGGGATTCAAACCTGGATCTTCTGCAAGAACAGTTAGTATTCTTAACCACTGAGCCATCTCTCCAGCCCCCAAAAAAAAAGGAGTCATCTTTGACAGGCCGTGGCCAGGGGCAGGGGAGGGGAAGGCACTGCAGGATCTCTGAGGATGGCGCTGGGTTCCCACCATCTCTGCCACATGGGCTTCGGGAGTCCTTGCTAACTGACAGGTTGAGCTCTGAAGAACAGATGACTCGACAGCTCCTTATCTCCAGTACTGTAAAGCTAATCTGATTAACAGAGCCTGGGTTTGCCAGGCCTCTACTATTCCACATTAAACAGCATCACCATCAAAATAGTAGATCTACTAACAATTCTCAAAGCCTCAATCCAGAAGCTTCCAGGAGCACAGTTTGAAATTTATAGTTGTATTTGGTGAAAAATTACCAGTAATTTCATTTTTTCAGCTCATTTATATTCTCAATTTTCTATAATGAACAAATATTAAGCAATTCACCTAAGAAAAGTTTTTTGTTTTTAAAATATGACAGCGGGGGCTGGAGAGATGGCTCAGTGGTTAAGAACACTGGTTGTCCTTGCAGAAGACCTGGGTTTGAATCCCAGCACCCACATGGCAGCTAACAACTGTTTATAACTCCAGTTCCAGGGAATCCGACAGCCTCTTCTGACCTCCGCAGGCACTGCATGACACGGGTGCCCTTACCTACATGCAGGCAATACATGCAGACACATAAAATAAAAATAAATAAAAATATTTAAAATATGACAGCAATAAAGGTTTTGTGGCAACAAGAGAATGCCTATGGTGTGTTAAATGCACAAAGTAGCGGCCAACACTGTATTATATTTTGATAGTAACTATATTAAAAAATACAAAAGAGACCACAAGGAAGTTAAGTATTTTTTTGTGAAAGCTAAATTATTTTCCTAACTCAGAAAACTGGCACTGCTGGCCAAAAACGTGGTGACTCTAAGAGCAGCTTGCAGGGAGTGCAGGGTGTGTCACAGGCCTGGCTGGTGGTCCAGGGCTTCTCCCTATGTTCCGCTCTCACTTCTCTGGACCACTAAACCAATGATCCAAAACTCTGAGGGCCAACATGCTTTCTTACTGATAGAAAACATGGTGGGATTTTCTTTTACTGCCCTCAAACCAGATGTGTAGGTAATAAAGTCTACCGACACACGCCTGAACTATAACATAAGGAGAGAAGTGAAAACAAAAAGGCCTGGGGAGTGGTCAAGCCTTTAATCCCAGCACTCAGGAAGCAGAGACAGGCAGATCTCTGTGAGACTGAGGCCAGCCTGGTCTACATAGTGGAACCCCATTTCAAAATAAAAAATTAATTATAGGGGATACTGTGATGATTAGCTTTTTTCCAAAAAGATTTATTTTTCAATTTTATTTATGTATGTATGCGCACATGTACATGAAGGTGTCTACAGAGGCCAGAAGAGGGTGTCAGATCCTCCAGAGCTGGAGTTACCGGCAGTTGTGAGCCACTCAATTTGAGTGCTGAGAATCCAACTCTGGTCATCTGCAAGAGCAGCAAGTACTCTTAACCACTGAACCATTTCTCTAGCCCTGTGATGGTTAATCTGATTGTCCACTTGACTGGAGATTAGCAAAGTAGGCCTCTGGTGTGTCTGAGAAAGCATTTCCAGAGGTGATCAGATCCTGAGGGTTCTAATCTAATCAATGAGTTAACGCATCATGGCACAAAATGGAAAGGAGGAGTAGGGAGGGTGGGCTGTGGAGGCGGGGCCTCACAGGAGGAAGTAGGTCACCAGGGACAGCCTTTGAAGGGCCTGTCTCACTGCTGTTTCCTTCTCTGCTTCCTGCCGCCAGTATTTCCTCTTACCCTTAGCAACATAACCTCCAAAAAGAATCCACATGGACGCGATGAGCGAGCCAAAGGCCAACATGAAGCCAATGAAGAGCCAGATACGAGCACCTGCAATGAAACACCATGTCACCAGAGCAGCTGCTAGGATGCAGCCAACTTCACATAAAACACGAAAGCCCAAACTAGATGTGGTGGTGCATACCTGTGATGTCAGCACTTGGGAGGCTGAGGCAGGAGGATGAGGAGCTCAAGGCCATCCTCCGCTACCTAGGGAGTTTGAGTACAGAATGGACTACCCGAGACCTGACTCAAAAAAAGGAAATGAACAAACAAAAACTATAAACAAACAATAAATCAAACGAGGGCAGGGAGATGGCTCAGCAGGTAAGAGTGCTTCCATGAAAGCCTGACAACCCAAATTTGATCCCCAGATCCCTCTTAAAAAGCAAGATGTAGCAGTAATCTCGACATTCCTACTGCAGGATGAGGGGCAGAGACAAGAGAATCACCCAGAAGCTCAGGGTACTAAGAGTAGCAGAAACAACAAGAGAGAGACTGCCTTGACAAGCTGGAGGTGAAAACTCCCAAAGGCTATTCTCTACTGCCATACCTGAGAATACACATGCCTTCTCCCTCTCCAGCTCTCTCTCACACAAAAGAATTTGATTTAAAAACTAGGTCTGGGGGGGCTGGAACGATGGCTCGGTGGTTAAGGGCACTGGCTGCTCTTGTAGAGGACCAGTGTTCGGTTCCCAGCACCCACATGGCAGCTAACAAACATCTGTAAGTCCAGTTCCAGGGGATCCAATGCCCTCTTCTGACCTCCACAGGTATTGCACAAGAGTGCACTTACACACATGCAGGCAATACACTCATACACATAAAATAATAAAATAAATATTTTTTAAAATAGTTCTAGGGTTGGAGAGTTGGCTCATTGGTTAAGAGCACTAGCTGCTCTTCCAGAGGACCAGGGTTTGAATCCCAGCACCCACATGGAAGCTAACAACCATCCATAACTCTAGTTCCAGGGGAATCTGATGCTCTGATGCCCTCTTCTGGCCTCCATGGGCACTGCACAACATGGGTGCACTTAACCTACATACAGGGAAAATTCATATACGATAAATTTAAATTAAAAAATAAAAAAGGGCTGGAGAAATTGCTCAGTGGTTAAGAGCACTGGCTGCTTTTGCAGAGGACCAGGGTTCAGTTCCCAGCACCCAGCAGCTGACAACCACCCATAACTCCAGTTCCAGGGGATCCTATGCCCTCTTCTGACCTCTGTGGGCATTGCACAACACAGGTGCACTTACATGTAGGCAATATACTCATACACATAAATTAAAAATAATAAAATTCCAGCTGGGGAGATGGTTCAGTGGTTAAGAGCACTGGCTGCTCTTATAGAGGACCCAGGTTGGGTTCCCAGCACCCACATGGCAGCTAACAACTGTCCATAACTCCAGTTCTAGGGGAACCAATGTTTTCTTCTGACCTCCTGGGCAATGCACGACATGGGTGCATTTAACATACATGCAGGTATAACACTCATACACATAAATAAAAATAAATAAATAAAATATAAAAACATAGAAACTTAAAAAATATATAAATAGCCTAATAAAAAGGTCTAGCCAGGCATGGTGATGCACACCTTTCATCTCAGCATTCAGGAGGCAGAGGTGGGGAAGATTTCTTTGAGTCTGAGGCTAACCTGGTCTAGAGAAGCCAGTCAAGGGTTATGTAGTGAGACCCTGAAAAACTAAAGAAAGAATGTTCTAGAATTATAAACTACTTTGAAATGCTAATATAACCAAATCAATTTTCATAAAGGACAGCAATGTACAGAGTTTACCACGCTACAAATCTTGACTACACACGTCATTATCTACTGTTCTCTGCTGTACCCCAGACACACTCATAGTCACCTATCATTACACCAAGGCACATAATGAAGTCCGCAAGTTTTTGGTACTCACAGCTGCTTTGAGCAGATCTGACTTTGACTTTGAGTACCTCTCCATCCCATGTCTCAAATGAAATATCTAGACAAGTCCTCTTTTGTGTAAAATTATCATTTCGAGGAAGAAACATAGGAAATAAGGTGTTTGTACCTATTTACCTGTTTGACCCAGACAGCCTTCACTGTAACTGTCACCTCGAACTTGTCCATTCGACACTGCATTAATCCTGTGTAAAATAAAAACCGAGACATCAGAGTTTTTCATTCCAAGAAGCCATCTATTGACAACAAATTTTTAGATACAATAAGCTAGAGTTCCCCAAATTCAGTGAGACCTGAGTCTTGAGTCATAGCTCCACATGACCGTATCAAGTTCCTTCAGTGGGACACTCTCTGAAGTTGCAGTTGTAGCCCAGACAAGGACACATTGTCACCTGGCCACCTGTCTGAAAAAAAAACTCTTGGCCTCACTCCAAACCTACTAATGCAGAGCCTTCCAGATATAGGGCTCAAGTTCTAACAAGTCTTTCAGGGAATTCTAATGCTTATTAAGAAATTAAGTACAAAATGCTCCAAAAAAAAAAACTGTCTTAGCACATGAGAGACTGAGGACTGCCTTGAGTTTAAAGCCAGCCTGGGCTACTGAGTGAAACCTTACAAACAAAGATCTGGGCACCAAGTGTGCTTTGTTTGGGGTGCAGCTGTTCTTGGGGTGCTCCTTTCGCCCCCACATGGACAGCCTTCCCATCCCCTCAGGGCTACCTTCTTCTGACCCCTGCGAGACGGACCTCCCCCTTCACCTTGTCTGGACCCGAGTGCCTAACCTGGACCACACTCCAACGGGGACACACATCCCACCTTGCCTCAGCTCTGGCTGTGTGCCTTGCCCTCCTGCCTTTCTGTCTAGTGTGCCACCATCCTTTACCCACCCCGCCTACTGGTGCATGGACTAAATTCTTCAGGAAGAAAACTTGAACAGCATCCAGGTGTGGTAAGCACACATGTTTAGGTTCTAGAACTCAGGAGGCAGAGGCAGCTGGATCTCTGTGAGTTCGAAGCCAGTTTGATCTACAAAGAGAGTTCCAGGTCAGTCAGGGCTATACAGTGAGACTGTGTCTCCAAAAATTAAATAAATAAGGGGCTGGAGAGATGGCTCAGTGGTTAAGAATACTTGTTCTTCCAGAAGACCTGGGTTCAATTCCCAGCACCCACATGGCAGCTAACAACTGTTTGTAACTCCAGTTCCAGGAGATCCGACACCCTCTTCTGGCCTCCACAATCTTTGCAAGACATGGGTGCACTTACATACGTGTAGGCAATACACTCATACACATAAGATAAAAATAAATTATTACTAAATAAATAAATAAATTGCTGGGTGTGGTGGTGCATGCCTTTAGTCCCAGCACTTGGGAGGCAAAGGCAGGTGGATCTCTGTAAGTTCAAGGCCAGCCTGGTCTACACAGTGAGTTCAAGGCCAGCTGGGGCTACAAGGAGATCCTGTCTCAAAAAGACCAAGAAAAAAAAAAAAAAAAGAAGAAAATCATCTGAACACTGCTTATAAAAATACACGTATGAGAAGGGGCTAGAAAGATGGCTTAGCAGTTAAGAGCGCTTACTGCTCATGCCGAGTATCAGGGTTCTCAGTTCTCAGCACCCACATCATGGCTCCAGTGCCATCTTCTGATCTCCTTGGTACATGTATATACATGCATACATGTAGTCGAAACACTTGTACACATAAAAATAAATTTAAAAGAAAAATGTGTTACAAAGACCCAAAAGGAATGAATAACCAACTATGAGATAGATTAAAATATTAGTTTGGTGGACTGGAGAAATGGCTCAGCTGTTAAAAGTACTGAGGGCTCTTGCAGAGGACCCAGGTTCAGTTCCCAGAACCCACATGGATACTGACAACCATCTGTAACTCCAGCTCCAGGGGATCCACACTCTTCTCTGTCCTCTGTGGACACTGCATGACACAAATATACTTACATGCAGGCAAAACACTCAGACACCAAATAAAAATAATTAAAATATTTAGTTCAGTGAGAGAACCTGTCTCGAGCCAATAGGGCAGAGCACAACAGAGGAAAGCCACCCAAAGCTCTACTGCGGCCTCTGTGCACCCCACGCACACGTGCATGCACCACGCACCACAGGAGCAAACCAGAAACTGAAGATCTAGGACAAAACGGACAGAATGAGTGAGAAATCTCACAAAAATAAAACTTAAATCGGAACCAAGGTTGAATTTTATTAACATGTCAAGGATTACAGTAGCCAAATTATCACAATAAACTGCAACTAAATGGAAAGCCTAGAGATTGCAGCCTGGGCTATATATGGAGACCTCTCAAATCTCAACCTCCCTAAGAGAAAAGAGAGAAAATATATATGGAAGACAGTAAAACTACCAGAGACTCCCTGGGCACAGGAAGTTTTCTTTGCACATCTGGAACAGATGGTGAGCACAGAGCCTATACTTAGAATCTGCATGGAGAGGGCCACAGTGCAGAGGCTGCGCTGATACACTGTATGCTGGGAATGGAAGGACACTAGGGCAGGAGTGAGGAATGGGGGTGGGGGGAGTATCTAAATGTCTGTAAATGTTAAGAACCAATTCTCTTCTCATCCTGCCTGCCAGTGTCTATAAACTTTTCCTTCAAGTATGAATGAATTTCTTTAAAGATCAGAATATTTTCAGGCCTCTGGACACTAAAGTCTCTGTTGTGCCATCATAAATCAACACCCAAAGAACATATACAGGGCTAAGAATATGGCTAAGTCACAGAGCACTTATGTGGCATGCCAAGGCCCTGGGTTCTATCCCAAGCACCACAAAGAAAAAAGAAAAAGGGAATTATACACATACACACAAAGAAAAACTATAGACACAAGTAACAGCTGGGTGTGGAGGTGTTCCAGTAAAACTAGATTTACAAACTACAACTGTCATAGTTTGCCAATCCCGTTGAGCCTATAGCACGCTTCTAAAGGAAGGGGAGAAAATGACTTTGCTCCTAAGTAATTTTAAGAAATATCTGGGAAGAATTCTAAGTATTGATGAGAGTAAGTCCAGAGTAACATCCTCTCTACCCTGGTGTTCAGGAGGCTAGCTCCCTAACCCACTTTTCTTAAGCTGAAGGCCTGACCCAGGACCACAGTATTCATTACAGTTCTGTAAGCAAGAATGGATACCCAGAGTCACCAAACATGAGGAAAGGCCTAGAGCATGTCAAAGAAAGACCGGATCAACAGACACTGGAGCCTGGTGTGATGGCACACACCTGTAACTTGACTGGGTGAGATGGGAGAACAACAAATTCCAGGCCAACCTGGTTAACATGATGAAACCCTGTCTCAAAAACAAGTAAACAAACAAACCGCTCCAAAAAACCCCAAAAGTTCGGGAGCTGGAAAGATGGCTCAGCGGTTAAAAGCACTGGTTGTTCTTGCAGAAGAGCCTGGTTTGAATTCCAGCACCCACAGGATGGCTAACAACTGTCTACAACTTCAGTTCCAGGGGATTTGATGCCCTCTTCTGACCTCTGTGGGCACTGCATGAAATGGGTGCACACATGCAGGCAATACACTTATACACATAAAATAAGAATAGTCAATAAAATATCTTTTTAAAAAAACAACCCAAGGCTGGGCGTGGTGGCGCATGCCTTTAATCCCAGCACTTGGGAGGCAGAGGCAGGCAGATCTCTGTGAGTTCCAGGCCAGCCTGGTCTACATAGCAAGTTCCAGGTCAGCTGGGGCTACAGGGAGACCCTGTCTCAAAAAGACCAAAAAAAAAAAAAAAATGCAACAGCAATAGGAACACCAGGAAGACCAGAGTTTTTACTGCAGAGATTACGCAGTTTCCCACTTGAATTCACATCTGTAAAGGCCCTTGCATGGCTCTCCATCAATTTCTCCACCTCCCTTCCATCTCCTATGCGTCTTCTCTGCTTTCCGTCTCTGCTCCGCACCTGCCGTTGTCTAATATGCTATAAACATAATCTCTCTCATGCAGAGCCACGTACAGCTTTTCTCCTGTTCTGGGCACTGCTATTTCTCCTGTACTGAGAACATGAGAACAGAGCCTGGACTATGAAAGCTTAATAAATACAGGTGTGAAGGATGACTAATTCCTTAGGGAAACTATATGGCTTCTGATCTAAATTATGAACTATGTTAAGACAGAAATAAAACAATAGCTGGACATGGTGGCACACACCTTTAATCCCAGCACCTGGGAGGTAAAGGCAGGCAGATCTCTGTGAGTTCAAGCCCAGCTTGGTCTACCTACTGAGTTTCAGGCACCCTGTCTCAAAAAAGACAAGAAAAAAAAATAAATAGCAGAGGCAGGCGGATCTCTGTGAGTTTAAGGCCAGCCTGGTGAGTTCCAGGACAGCTGGGGCTATAGGGAGACCCTGGTCTTCAAAAAGACCAAAAAATATATATATATATATATTTATTTTATGTGTATGAGTGTATTGCCTGCATGTATGTGAGTGCACCCATGTCGTACAATGCTGCGGAGGTCAGAAGAGAGCTTCGGATTTCCCTGAACTGGCATTAAGGACAGTTTGTAGCCACCATGTGGGTGCTGGGAATCAAACCCGGGTCCTCTGCAAGAGCAGTTAACCACTGAGCCATCTCTCCAGCCCGATTTTTACCTCTCAACTGCTGGGTTTTTTGTCTTTCTCAAGTCAGGGTCTCAATATGGAGCCCTGGCTGTCATGGACTTTACTATGAACGTTGGGTTCAAATTTACAGCAATTCTCTTGCCTTTGCTTGCTAAATGCTGGGATTACAGGTTCCAAAAGTGGGCCACCATGGCCAGCTGTCTTTACCTACTGGAATTTCAAACTGTGTCCACTATCAGTTTTAGTTTGTGACAATCCACACAGGTAGGGTAACAACGACACTTACATCAGGAAGGCTATGGTTGCTATAACTCCACAGGCGTGGTATGAGTGGTTGAACTCCTCCATGGTGGGATAAATAACAGCTGCATCTATAATAATCCACCAGCCTGTGAAAAACTGAAAACAGACAAAAATAAGGTGATACTAGTGAGACAGGTCAGCATTATCATATAAGGAATTTTGAAGTGTCTAAGCCAAGACACCCCTTCAAGTGACTCAAAATGTTCTTAAATGGCTGGGTGTGGTGGTGCACGCCTGTAGTCCCAGAACTTGGGAGGCAGAGGCAGGCAGATCTCTGTTCCAGGCCAGCCTGGTCTACATAGTGAGTTCCAGGCCAGCTGGGGCTATAGAGAGAGACCGCTTCAAAGACAAAAAAAAAAAAGTTCTTAAATGTCCCAGCAGGGGGCAGGAGAGACAGCTCAGTGGTCAAGAGCACTAGCCTATTTTGCGGAGGACCCAGGATGGGTTCCCAGCACCCACATGGCTGCTAACAACTCTGTAACTCCAGTGCCAGGGGATCTGATGCCCTCTTCTGGGCTCTATGGGTACACTTACATATATGCAGGCAAAACACTCACACATATAAAAATAATTTTTTTACAAAGTCTCAGCAGTTTTATGTAAACACCGCATGTGGCTTACTAGCTGATAGGTACTCTAAACCTACTTCAACTAGTACAGATTTTGTAAATATGTAAGTTAATTTTGTGTACTAGAAATAAGTTACAATATGTCATAAAGGAACTCACGGGACGGCTCACACCTGTAATTCTCAAGGTTGGGGTTCGATTGCTGTGAGTTTAAGGTCAACCTCAGATTCCAACGAACATAAGAAATGTCCAGCTGCAATCTAAGTACAGACCTCTAGAAAAATCCTGCCAGGCACAGCAGCACTCAGCCACAACCATCGAGCCTGGGAGCCTGCGCAAGACTGACTTTGAAGTCAGTCTGGGTTAGGCAGCAAGACCCCCGCCCCCTGCTCCTCCCCAAAAAGGTTACCGTGATGAACAGGTGTCACTGGAAGTTGACAGTTGGGCTCTCTTGTTCCTTTGATGACTACATTGTAGGCTTTGGATGGTTTCAAATGTGATTTGATTTTATGTATTATCAGTTTTTTGAGATGGGGTCTCACTAGGTAACCCCAGCCGTCCCAGAACTTGTTATGTAGCTCCAGCTGGCCTTGAACTAACAAAGATTCACCTGCCTCTGCCTCCCCAGTGCTGGGATTAAAGGTGTACACTGCCATGCCCAGCACATAAACTAAAATATAAAGTTTTAGAAAAATACAGGAATACTGTAGTATATGATAAAACAAGAAATTAAGTGATGAGGAGATTAAAACTTGGGTTTCCATTTATTTTCTTACTTAAAACTTCTTTCCAGGCTGGGGACACAGCCCCATCACAGCGAACTTTCCTCCTCCACCCTGGATTCAATCTCCAGTAGAAACACTTCTCTTTACACAGCACCATAATATCAGGCTCCATGAGAAATTATGATGTAAATAAGAATTTTATTTTTTGTATTCCCAGGCATTATATTTAAAAGGGTATAGCAGGACACCCCCCCTCCCCCAACACACATCCCAGGACTTGGGAGGTGGAGGCAGGAAGATCAGGTGCTCAAAGTCATTCTGGGATACATGTCTAACTGGAGGCCAGTCTGAGCTACAAGAAACCCTGTAAAAAACAAAAAAGAAGAACACTACACTTTAATGATTTGGTACTACTTTTCTTACGAAATTGAGGAGAAAATGAACCCTGGATGATGGGGAACTGCAAGTATATATCATGTCTCTTGACTGGCTCTAACCTGATTTTTTTTTTAAAGTTTATTACTACTTATTTAAAACAACAATAACAAATTACAAAGCCACCAGCAGTGAATACGGGTTCTTTTCTCTCTGTACCACATCTTCTCCAACATTTGTTGTCAGATTTTTTTTTTTGTCTTTTTGAGACAGGGTCTCCTTGTAGCCCCAGCTGGCCTGGAACTCACCATGTAGACCAGGCTGGCCTTGAACTCACAAAGATCCACCTGCCTCTGCCTCCCGAGTGCTGGAATTAAAGGCATGCACCACCATGCCTGGCCTTTTTTGTTTAAAAGTTTTATTATTTTTATTTTATGTGTCAGTGTACCGCCTGCATGTATGTGAGTGCACCCGTGTTGTACAATGCCTCGGAGGTCAGAAGAGGGCTCTGGATTCACCTGGAACTGGAGTGAAGGACAGGTCATAGCTGCCATGTGGGTGCTTGGAATCTAACCCAGGTCCTCTGCAAGAGCAGTCAGTGCTCTTAACTGCTAAGCCATTTCTCCAGTCCCTCATTTTTGTTTTTGTTGTTGTCTTGAGACATGATCTCCCTTTAGCCCTAGCTGGCGTAGAACCGGCTGTGTAGGCTACTCTGGCCTCGATCTCACAGAGATCTGCCTACCTCTGCCTCCCAAGTGCTGGGATTCAAGGGATGTGCCACCATGCCTGGCTGTTGTTGGATTTCTTGATGACAGCCATTCTGATTGGGGTGAGGTGTTATTTGCAGGTAGTTTTATTTGCATTTCCCTGATGACTAGGGATGTTCAACATGTTAAAATAGTTACTGGCCACTTGTATTTCTTTTCTTGAAAACTGTCTATTCAATTCATTAGTCCATTATTGGGGTGGTTTTATTTCCTTGTTATTTATGTCTGCAGGTCTTTATAAGTTCTGAACTTACCAGGATAGCTAGAAAAGATTTTCTCCCATTCTGTGGGCTATATGTACAGTCTCCTGATAGTTTCCTTTGCTGCACAGAAAACTTTTATTTTCATGTAGCTTCATCTATTGATGCTTGAGGCTAGTTCCTGTGCTACTGAGGTTCTGTTCAGAAAGTTTTGGCCTACCCCAATATCCTGAAGGGTTCTCTGTTTTCATCTAAAAGTTTCAGGGCTTTAGGTTTTTTACTTAAGGACTTTGATCCACAGATTTTTGTACAAGATGAAAGATGTTAATCTAATTTCATTCTTCTGTAGGTAGAAATCCAGTTTTGGCAGCACCATTTATTGAATAGGATGTCCATTTTCCAATGTGTGTTTTTATCTCCCATTTCAATAATTAGGTGGGCACGCTTTATCAGTTTATTTCTGAGTCCTCTACTCTGTTCCACTGGTCTACCTGTTTCTATGCCAGCACCAAGCTTGTTTCTTTAACCTCTCTTTTACCCTACTGTACTCACAAAGAGGCATAACCAACATAATGAACAAATAAGTATTTAAAGTATGTTTTATTATGCCATTTACCCAGATCAGTCTATTGATCAAATCTGATGGTTAACAGTTAAAAAATGATGAACAACTTTGGTAGGTTTCTAAAAGTGTTTGCTTGTTTATGTTTAATTTTGGAGACAGGGTCTTACTATGTAGCCCTGGCTAGCTAGAAACTTGCTTTGTGGACCAGGCTGAGCTTGAACTCATCGAGACCCGCCTGCCTCTGCCTCCCAAGTGCTGGGATTAAAGGCATGCCCTACCACACAGGGCCCAACAGTAAAAAAAAAAATATATAAAAAAATAAAAAAATTTCAAAAGCATTTTAAAACATCACACACAATACACACACACACACATACACACACACACACACACACACACACAATCAGGGCTCCAGGACACTTACTAGAACACCAGCAGCGATGGAGGCAATAGTATTCCGCTTTTCACCCCAATCAACGCATTCGGAGCACCTCATACCTTCTAGAAATCCAGACATCTTTTCAAGTCACTAAAAAACAAAACACAGTGAAATAAGGTACTTCTGTTTCCTTCTTCAAATTTGGCTTATGTTGTAGAGGCTTTATTTTGGCTCCACATACTTCTTCAAAATATCCGATGTAAGCCAGGCCTGGTGGTGCATACCTTTAGTCTCAGCACTCTGAATGCAGATGCAAGGTGGATCTTTGTGAGGCCAGCCTAGTCTACACAGCAAGTTCCAGGCTAGCTAAGGCTACAGTGACACCCTGTCTCAAAACCAAGAGAATACCTAATTTTGTTTTTTGGAGAGTTGGGGTATTTGAGATTGAACCTAGGGCTTCATTCATGCTATGTAAGCATTCTACAACTAAGCTAAATCCCTGGCCTCCCCTGCCTCCCCATTTTTTAAAAAATATTTTATTATTTTTATGTGTATGCACGTAATTGCCTGCATGTAAGTAAGTACACCCATGTCGTGCAATGCCCTCGGAGGTCAGAAGAGGCTGTCGGATCCCCTGGGATTAGAGTTACAGACAGTTGTTAGCTGCCATGTGGGTGCTGGGATTTGAACCTGGGTCTTCTGCAAGAACAACCAGTGCCCTTAACCGCTGAGCCATCTCTCCAGCCCCACTTGCCTCCCTTTTTAAGGGTAGGGTCTTGCTATGTGTACAGCCCAGGCTGGTCTCAAACTCTAGATAATCCTCCTGCCTCAGCCTCCCAAATGCTAGGATTAAAAATGTGAGCCACCAAACCACACTTGGTTTAGCTTTTCATGAATTGCCACACCTAGAAACTCATATGGCAGCTAAAAACCATGTAGCTTCAGGGGATCGGACACTCTCTTCTGACCTCCCTGGGACTACACTCCTGCACACTAAAAAACAAAACAATATAAGCCGGGCATGGTGGCGCACACCTGTAGTCCCAGCACTCGGGAGGCAGAGGCAGGCGGATCTCTGTGAGTTCAAGGCCAGCCTGGTCTACATAGTGAGTTCCAGTATAGTTCGTGCTACAGGGAGACCCCGTCTCAAAAAGACAATAAAAAAATTAATTAATTAAAGAAAAACAGAAACATGGTTTTAGCTGGGAGTGGTGTGGTACCTTATTCCTACAGTCCCTGCACTTCGTAGCCTGAGGCAGGAGGAGTGTACTAAATCTGAGGGGAGCCTGGGCTAGAGTATGAAACACTGTCTCAAGGGGCTGGAGAGATGGCTCAGTGGTTAAGAGAACTGACTGTTCTTGCAGAGGACCTGGATTTTAGATTTTCAGTACCTACATGGCAGCTAACAACCATCCATGCCTCCAGTTCCAGGGAAATCCAACACCCTCTTTTGACCTTTGTGGGCATTGTATAACACAGGTGCACTCACACACTTGCAAGTACACACAGGCAATACACTCATAGATATAAAATTAAAAAATAAAATAATTATTTTA